CCCCAACCCCAACCCCAGCACCCCCAGCCCCTCCTCCAAAAGATCCGAATCGACTTATAGATCCCGAAGCCCCAAATGACATGGACGTAGACGCAGACACAGACGCAGGCATGGAGGCAGCCCCCATTCCAAAGCCAGCAGCAGTTACTCCTCCTCCTCCTTCTCCTCCTCCAGTCCCCGCACCCGCAGCAGCCGTGGTATTATCCCCATTCCCATTATCACCACCATCACCTCCCCCGCCCGGTCCATCGCCATTATCGTTGAAATTGCTATTCGCCGTCATGTCATCGTAGTTCATGCTGGAATCTGCTCGATCCGGACGCCACCGTCCCTATTGCGATTGCGAGGGACCTGCTCCTCCGCCGGGAGTGGTGGTGCCTGTGGGGCCTCCTGTAGCTCCTGGGGCGCCGGGGGTGGTGCTCCCTGGGTACCGTTGTTGGGAGGAAGAGAGGGGGTGGGGATTTGTTGCTGGTGCTGTTGTTGTTGGTGCTGTTGGTGGTATTGGTGAAGGAGGATGTCTTCGCGGCCGTCGAGCCAGGAGGTACAGTTTATGCAGCGGATTGACTATACACCCGGTTAGTTGTGTTTGGTAGTTGGGTAGGTAATGGGGAGGGGGTAAAGAGGAGGAAAGGGCGAAGGGGAAGAGAAAGGAGGTTGAGGGGAGAATAAAGGGTAGGGGGAAAAGATGTAGAGGGCCGATATCGGAGCTAAGGGAAGATGGGAGATGTAAGGGAAGAGAAGGGAAGGTATGTAAGGGGATGGAAGGTAATGAATGGTAAAGTAGGGGTGAAGAAGGACGGAAAATGGGAGACTCACGTTAATATTCACAAACTTGCAACAATACTGACACCGAATAGTCTTCTTGATGATGGGGTCCTTCGACATGAACTGGTAGATGGAAGCGATGCTGTAAAGCGAGAAGCCAACGCCCATGAAGTTGAGGAGGCGGTTCATGAAGAAACTACCTTCTGTCAGTATCTCTCCCTTCCAAATAACTTAGAAGCGATGGGGTGACATACCCATAAGCCATAACAACAGCACCATCCGCCTGCGCCTGTTTCAGGGTGTTATATCCTTCCTCAGGATGATTAGCTCCGGACCGGAGCACCGCGAACTTTTCTTCCAAGTTCTTGTTCAGTGGGAGAAGCACCGAGATGGGCGGGAGGACAATGTCGGAAACAAAAGAGGTGACGAGGGCTGTGAACATTGTTGCTAGGCTGTTTGTTTGTCACATATCAGCTTCCATTCTCGCTTTTGACAGGAGTTGCTAGGAGAAAGGGCTGTGCTCACATCAAACCAAAAGCGATCTCGAGCACATTTCCCTGAAATGCGAAATCGATAAAGTCTTCCCAGAGACGCACTACCCTCCGCCGGTTACGGTTGAGGAGGTCATCTTCTTCCTCGTCGCGGTCGTAGACCTGAGTGTCTTCTAGTCTTGGCATGGTGGTTGTGAGATTGTGTGATGTGGTGGAGAGGGTGGATATGGTGGTGCAATCCGATATCCGACGAGCCGAAGAGAAATGACGAATGTGACGACAGCAGTCAAGCTTGAACAACACAAAAGAGAGTAGAGGAAACCACTTCAAATTGAAGATGAAAGATGAGATGATTCCGTCTTATTCTTCTTTGAAGAAGCCGGGCGGGGGAATCGGAGTAGTAAGTGACGAGGAGATAAAGTATGGAGACGGGCCGCAGGCACGCCATGTCCCAAAGCGGTATAGACAGACCCGACGTCACTGAATGGCACACACGGCGCGCCGGGGCCAGGTCCCTCTCCTCACAAGGCCGTTGGGCGGGCACAATCTTTTGACGATGCCACCATTCACCACTAGAACCAACGAGACCAGCCAACGAATCTTGCATTTGCGCTTGTTTCACGCTACCATCAAATCAAATTGGCGGGTTTACTTTTTAATGGTTGGCCGATCTGGTTACCATTCATTCCATTGTCACAACTCACCTGTCTCTTGGGCTTTCTTATCACCGCCGCCAAAACCGCCGCTATCGTAGGACAAGTCGTTTGGGTTTGGGTCGCAATTGAGTGAGGGGAACCTCAAAGAGCTCGCAGGAAGCTAGTAGTTGGGAATGGAGTCAGATAAATCCACTTTGGTAGGTTTGGGTATGCACGACGACAAGGTGCAAGTAGATCAAGTGGATATTAGCTGGGGATCAGTAGGCGGTCTTGCAGATCAAATCACCAACGACTCCAAAAGTGAAGAGACAACGCAGCAAACGCAGCAAGCCGGATCCTAGACATCTTCAACCCCCATGCTTGAATCCCCACGAGGCTTTTTGGCGATATGCGAAGCTAAGAGATGTCAACAACCGGGTCGTTTCTAGCTTGATAAGTCCGAAACCAAGTGCGGGCGATCGGGACGGGTCGTCATCGGAGAAAACTACACACGCGGCTGCGGCGCGAGAGCGGCTTCATGCCTCTGGGCCTGCATTGAATCGCATGTAAAAGCACCTTGAAGCAAATGCGGAACGGAAAGTGGTCCAAATGTCATGTCATTGTCTTCATAACCAAAAACAAAAAAAGAAGCGCCAAAGCTATCAATACATACAGGTAGGGTATGCGAGAGTGGTATATGCTAGCCAACAAATCAGGCACCTCTAGAGAACCCCTAAATCAGAAAAAACACGCCACATGCGATAACATTTTTAGAGCTTGGAAGAGACGGTGATGAGGGAGTTGCCCTTGCGGATAACGGCAACAGCGTCGTTGACGAACTCGTCAACGATCGCCTTGGCGTTCTTCTTCTCGTTGCACACGGAGGCGCACTGGCCCATGAGGAAGGGCTGGAAGTGGTCGAGGAGGTCATCAACATCGACCTCGTCGCTGCCGTTGTCGGCCTTGTAGGCATCCTTCATAGCCTTGGGGATCTCGGCAGCGCCGGACATGAGCTTGTCGATATCGGACTCGTAGGGGAGCTTGCCCTTGGAGGTGAGCTCCTTGATCTCCTGAGCGCGCTCCGTCTCCCAGTTCTCAATGTAGGGGTTCTTGCGGACACGGAGGGGGCGGCCGGTGAAGATGAGGGTGCGGATGGGTGTCGGGAGAAGCCGGCAGTGCGGACAGGCCTCCTTGTGGGCCTCGGGAGGCACCGGCCTCCTCGGAG